TAACATTATCTCTGCTTTTTGGGCCATTAATTAATTTTTTGAAGCCTTATTTACTCAAAAATAAAGACTAGTAACATTTAAAAATTTATAAAAGGAACTCCATAAATAAAAGTGTTTTATTAAATCATATAAATTAATAAGACTACAACATCCATCAGTCCCAGGAATTTTATATTAATGATTAAAGAAATTTTTTAATTTTAGGCTAACAAAATATTATCTAATTATTAATTTTTTCATTTATGTAACAATTCATATGTTGAATAAGCTTCATTCTCTTTATCCCAACAAATTAAATATGATCCATTATTTGTAATTGCTCCATAAATACTATTTGTATTAAATTTCAGTTGTTCTACTATTTTAAATTTCCTATTCATCATTTCTTGAACAATATAAATTTAGATTTTATGTCTGACAATTATCTCATTCCTTTATTCATTTTAAATAATTGGAAATAAGTACATATCCACAAATTTTTAATTCAATTGAATCGTCTTTTCCTTTTAATATTAACAATTTTTATAAAATCAACAATTTAATCTTTATATATGATAACAATTTTTTAAATTCCATTTTATTTTATATTCCTCTGACCCAAATTATTATTTCATTCTCGCCATTACCACATGATACTAATAAGCTCTCTGATTAGTTTAAACTTAATGCAAATACTTCTATCTTATGTTAATTCAATGAATATAAATAAATCATTTTGTCGTTATTGAAATCTAATTACCACACTTTAATTGAATTATCCTTACCTCTAGAGAATAATTGATCCTCCTTTTAATTTAAAATCATCCAAGATACCTTATCTGCATGTTATTGATAAAATTATGAGCTTATCCCTTTTTTATTTCCATATTCTTATAGTCTTATCACTTGAACTTGATAGAAATGCATCCTATATTCTATTATATATTAAGCAATTAACCCCACCACTATGTTATTCCAAACTTTATTATAATTACATTCTTCCATTTTTAAAACTCCATACTTTAATGACTTTTTTCTCTGTAGATACCATAATTGTTCCAAAAGAATTGAAAGCTATACTTACACAACAATCAACTTATTTAATAGATTAATCTATTAAATTTAATTTAACATCTTCTTCTTATAATGATGATGATTATTATATTGAAATTTGGTTTTTTAATTCAATTTTCTTATTGATTGAATTATCATCAAGTTTCTGAAATTATCCACATTTTGATATAACTATTTAAAGATCTGATTGACTTTGTTTGCATTAATTATATTCTGGAAATTTATGGTATGATTCCAATTTAGAAGTAGCCTTAGAATTCTAATTATTGTATGCTCTATTAATGTCTTTGATGAATGAAGTTGGATTGAATCTCATATTATTGATAAGATAACATTTGATTTCATTTGGCTGATCAGGCTTTTAAATAATTCAATCTATTAAACATTCTAAATTAAGATGATTTCTATTAGGGTTAATTTCTCATTTTATTATTTTCCCATCATTTATTTTTATATTTATTTTTGAATTATTTTTTTGAGGCCAACTTTTTTACCTTCTATGTCTACACTATCTAAACATTCATTGCACAAGAGTCTCTATTCTTTGAATATTTAAGGATTAAGAATGACTTTATCTATTTGCCGTTAGTGCTTCAAAGCACATTGTAGTGGTTTTTCCTTTTCTCTCATTTTAGATTTAAACATTATTTTAATTAATATTATTAATACCGTTCATTTTTAATATATATTGAGAATAGAATTATATATGAAATTGATGACTTTA